GAGCATACACTCATTGTAGCAGGATGTATGACACACGTAAAGAACTTGATTACATTGCAAAATTAGCAAGAGATGTAGGACTTAAGCAAAGTAAAGTAAAAGCCTTAATACAAGAAGCGGAAAAAGGATGCAATAAGACTAAAGATAAGAAAGAAAAAAAGGAGTTCACCGTAATGGAATACAGAGCACCGTTAAGTGGCATATACAGAAAAATAGGAGTAGAGAGCAAAAAGAAAATAGCATATAAGAGAAACACGACAATATTCCAAATGCTAAGAAATGACAAAACACCAATAGACAGGAGGCTAGTTCCAGGTGTGTACAGAATACCGTTGCATGATAAAAGGCTAAAGAAAGAGTTATATTATATAGGAGCCACAAAGAGATCATTAAGAGAAAGATTGAAGGAGCACGAAAAAAATATAAGATCTAAACAACCGATCACGGCTTTGGCCAATTATGCTATCGCGGATCCTGCAGAGATTACAATCGAATGGAGCAAGGCGGATATTGTACAAAAGATCGATAATATACGACATCTAAAGTATGCAGAGGCATGGCACATTTATAAATACAGAGAAAAGGGGCTTAATATAAATTTTCGAGAGTCAAGTAGAATAGCAACGGCATGGAGAGCGGCGGCATTATAAAGAGCTAATGGACATGCGCGATCGAATATCTGAAGATTATAGAACGTGCGTGGTTCGAATTACCGTTGAGAAAGTTCAAATTTTTAAAATATTTTACATCAATCCTGAAGAAGGTCTATAAATTAGACCGAAAACGTTAGAGAACTGACAAAAGTAAACTGCATTTTAAAGGTATAGTGAAATGTAGTAATTAATTAATGCAGTTAGAGATTTAGTAATTGATTGATGGCAATGCTGGCCAGATATTATCGGCAATTTTAATATTGATTAAAATAAAAAATTGATGGCAGAGTCTGTCAAAATAATCAACATTTTATTCACTTCCATGTTCTGTGCTTTGTTAATGTGATACTTTTCAATTATATTCATGTTTATTGTATGATTTTCAAATGGAGATTAGTTTAAGAAACTAAATAAAATGAAATCAACTTTTGTAATGCCAGTAAAAAAGATTCATTTCATTTAATTATTAATGTTCACAACATACTGAAAGCCATTGTTGGGTAACACCTGATTACTTTAAACATGTTTAGTAATTAAATATTTTTGCTTGGGTTAAATAAGATTGTTTTTGGTTTATTTGTGTTTATTATTTTCAATATTTACCTTGTTCTTAAGAAGGTTTCTTGGAATTTTTTTTAATTATTATTTTTATTTTTGCATTTTTTCTTAGCCTCTGTCACTAATAAATGATAGCATAAATGTGATTTTAAGCTTTTATATGCATTGGCAAAGTGAAAGAAATGTTTTGCTTTAAGATAATATTTAGTTTATGATAGTGATCTATACATCAATTTCTATCAAATAGTACTACCTGCCAGCGATTGAAGAAATAGAAAAAAAGCATACGAAAGTTATTATTAGATGAGATCAAATTTGACAAAATGACAAAAATATATGCAAAGACAGACACTTAACATTAAATAAATTTTTAGTTCATATATCAACTTTAATGTAACAATGTTATTTAATCTCTTTTTGTAATAACTCCCATTATAATTTTGATATTTTAAATAATTAATAAATAATAAATCATTTTGATATAAATGATTGATTGACTGATATGCAAAGACACAGTTTGATAACTTGAAAGAACAAACAATAAGAACACATATTGAATGCTCAAAAATAGCTAAGGACAAAGATTGAGTGAAGATCTATAGTCATTGATTACCGAAACAGAGAAGAATATATAGGTGGTACTGTATATCAGGGCCATCAAGAGAAGAAACTGGGAATTTTTTTCCTAGGCCCAGAGAAAACTTAGGAGTCTACACTGTAGTGATCTCTACCCCTACAAAATTAATGTTATTATACAAATATAAATATCAACTGAAACCTGATAGACACCCACAATTGCCGTAAATAATCAGGCTATATTTTGTTCATAATAATTATGAATTACAAATAAATTTGGCACTAGATGGAGGCATTAGGCACCATCTCATATTAAAATTAATAATTATAATATTTAGTTATTTGTAAATTAAATATTATAATTTAAATTAATAATTAAAAATTATTAAAATTAAATATTATAATTATGAATTACAAATAAATAATTATAATATTTATTTGTAATTCATAATTACTATGAACAAAATATAGCCCAATTAATTATGGCAATTGTGGGTGTCTATTAATGTTATTATTTTCCTGGTTCTGTTATATATAAAAGAGGAAAAGTATGGCAATTGATCAAAAAATGACCTCTAAGATCTCTACATTTTTGGACTTAGGTACCTTAAATGCTAAGAAATGCAAAAAAAATTTGGAGGTTTTTTCTGTATGTATGAATGTTAGTGTGTAGGGTCATACTAACATTCATGTATTTTGTTCACCTTCTTTGAAGTTTAATAACTCCTGTGCTTTTTGTCGAAAATTTCTGAAATTTTTCAGTGAGGTTTATATATTTTGGGGATTAATGTTATTAAATTTTGGCAATTAAAGATCAAGGGGATGGGAGATAAAGGGGTAGTGTGTCATATTTTCAGTAGGGTCAGACTTAATGATGATTTTACTCATTATTAGCATTTACACTTTTTTTTATAAAACTCACCCCTGTGCTCAAAATTAAGCTTTTTACCATTTTATAATAAATAAAAAATCATAAGAGATGGTGCCACACATGCAGTTTTAAATGTTGCCAGAAAAGGCAACATTTAAAACTGCATGTGTGGCATGGCACCATCTCTTATGATCCAGCAGTGAGTTGCTTAACTCACTGCTGGATTTTTTTTTACTAATAGAAAATAAAATCTTTAAAACTGCTTTTTAATACTAAAGAAACATTATACATATTTCATTTGTTCAAAATGCAAAAGAGGCCCATTCATCCTCTGGGCCATATTAATGAGGTATGCTTGTACATGTAAAAAAATAACATTTTGATCTTTAATTAACAGTCCAACTATCTTTGAAATAATTATGGTATAATTTAATAATTAATTTCAACATTCTAAAAATTATGCATTTTAATTTCTATATAATAATATTGTTATTATTTATAGAAAAGAATAATCTTAAGTCTTATCTTCAGTGCAAGTTGAAAGGTTGAAAATGTTTTGTAGTTAATATATATCAACTGAAAATAAAAGGTTAGTGTTAATATTATAGTCTTTCAATTTAATAAAAAATCTCAGTGCTCTAATAACACATTTAAGCATTAAACTCAATCTTTGGTTATATCAATTAAGATCAATTTTTGAAATCCAAATCTTGGATTTAAATTTCAAGTATTCCATTACTTTATGTGTTCTGTGTATCAAAAAAAATCAAACAGAAAGTAACAGAGCGTAGATGTTGGAGAAAACTATTACCCAGGTATTAGCTATTTTTGAGCATTCAATATACAGGTATACCTCGCCTTATGTCGGAAATTGGTTCCAGAAGAGGTGACTTAAGTCGTAAAATGACGTAAGTCAAATTTACTTGTCTCTGAATTTACTTGTCACTAGGCTAAACCACAAATAACCATTCCCAGTTCTGTATTTTATTTATAAATGCATTTTTAATAATGTATGGTTAATAAAAATCTATTTTAAGCTTACAAATAAATAAATTTTAGTTTTTAATATAGTACAGAAAAAAGTAATCTAAATTTACGAATACATGTACCAGTACATACGTACTTGTAAATATACATGTTTCAATTTGGCGATGTTTACAGTACATCATGGACTCTTTATTTGTGAATGTGGTTTGCTTTAACAAGTAAGACATTATAAAATAAGATGATTTTGTAAGGTTAAATAACAAATACAGTTATTAAAATTATTTTGTGATAGTAAAAAATAAACTAATTTATGTTAAATTTACCAATATCGAGTGGAGCTGACAACGCCACCAAACAGTAGATATTGGAACTACCGTGGAAAATGCCAATACTGAGCTCTTAAAGACCGCTAAATAAGACGACTATAGGGGCACAGATGTTTTCATATTTCGTTCTCTACGATTTATGATGATTATATTAACATATACTGTAAATGTATGTATTTTAATATGATTTTATGTTCTTTTAACACTTTTCTAGTGATATTACGACTTCAATATTTGTGGCGGACAGACGTAAAGTCGAATAAAATGATTTAAACTTGAATTTTATTTTTCCGTATATTTTTTTGACAAACGACATATAATCCAGAACAATGTAACTCGAAACGACGTAACTCGAGGTATACCTGTATGTTCTTGTTGTTTGTTCTTTCATATTATCAAACTGTCTTTGCATATCTTTTTGTCATTTTGTCACATTTAATCTCTTCTAATAATAACTTTTGCATGTCTTCTTTTCTATTTCATCAATCCCTGGCAAGTAGTACTACTTGATAGAAATTGATGTGTAGAGATTATTTATTTAAATTCTTCTTTTTGTACATATCTGACTATGTAAACAACTGACTGAGTTTCCTGTAATAACTGACTAGTCCAAACTGCTTGCCTTATCTAATGCCTTCATTTCATAAATTGCCATTCAATATCCATAGACATGTTTTGGGATCACCCAATATAAAATTTTACATTGTTCACATTAGTTTTGACATATTCAATAAAAGAATCAAATTCCTACAGTTCTAGGATTGACTACATAAATAACTGAATGATCAGTGCTTCAACACAAATCAAAGTCTCCTTTCCAGCAAAAAATAAATTTACACCGCAAACACTTTGGTCTCTTTGATAGGCCTTCTTTAGGTTAGATTCAAGATCTGAATGAGGAGTTTCGCACCCCCGAGAATTCTAGACCTCCATACGAGCAAAAATGTCAAAGGAAATTATGAATCGCTTATCCTTAAACACATTAAACCTACTTTCCAATATCAAAGGGTAATCATTTCAGAAACTATTAATAAACAAAATTATTACCTCGTGCGAAACACAATCTCCACATCTTAACTTAGAACAATGTCTACAGAAATATATTTTAGTTATAGGATGATACGATCCACAACTACACCCATATTTTACTTTATCATTCATAAATATGTCCGCCATTTTTAAGTGTTAGTCACATCGCCGCAAAACATCAACAATACAGGGAATATTCCCTTTTCTCGGGGAAATTTTTTAAACGATAATAATAATTGGAAAAATCTTTTAAAATATCTAAAACAAAAGTTTAATTGTAATTTTTTAAATTAATTATTAAAAATTGTAAAATAATAAAGCGATTGGAGAATTAATAGAATACTTTAAAAATATTTATGTAGGGAAATTTAAAGGAAATAAAACTCTCGGTTGGTATCGTTGCCATGACAACTAATCAAAGTGTGGCGCTGCGAGATGCAAATAAAAAATATGATGAAAATAACCAAAAGAATTAATCAATAGAAANACTGATGTACAAGATTGCAGACTCACAGTTACACAGATTCCATACTCCAGTTCATCTCAGGTAACTTCAATTTATCAAATATATTCTATTTAAACTCAATTATATACCAGCTTTAGTTAACAACATGCAATTAATGAGGTTTCATTTATGTTTTATATCTTCTTTATTGCAGCATACTCTATATAAACTGTACGTGGATTATGGTAATTGTATATTATTTCTGGGACTGTACCTTGTTTTGCCTACTTTTAATATTTGATTGTAGAATTATTTTTGAATATATAGCAATTTTATCAGCGTGTCAATATAATATCACAAATATTTAGATCAATGAATAAATAAGTTTTAACAAATAACCAAAGTTCAATCAGTTTTATACTTCATTTTTACTGATTCCTAAATGTGTTCCCGGTTGGATTGTAAATGATATGGTCTGCCTAATTTATATATGGGACTGTGAAGGAGTTGTATTGGACCTGAGGTAGAGAGGGCTGCTTTTGACCTGGGTAGGCTCCTGTAGTCTTTTGTTTTTTGAATAATTTAAATACATAGAATGTTTCTTTATTAATAAAAAGCAGTGTTAAGGACTTTATTTCTGTTTGTAAAGGAAATAGAAGATAACATATTAATTTTATAGGGGGTAGGAATCACTACAGGTTCCTAAGTTTCCTCTGGGCCCATGGAAAAATTCCAGCTCTCCCCATAATGATCCATTTTTATATATATATAAAAATGGATCATTATATATGGATATAGATATTTTGATAATTACGTAACATAATTAATGTACAATTATAAATAAATAAATAATAATCTTGTAATAAATAATAATCACAGTAAAAAAATTGACTATTATATATATATATATATATATATACAGCAGTCAATTCTTCATTTAGTGCATTTTAAATAAAGATTATGATTACTGTGATTATTATTTATTTATTTGTAATTGTACATTAATTATGTTACATAATTATCAAAATTATACACATTTAATATACATTCTATAGGATATCTAGAAAAATTGGAAATTTATAAGGCTCATAAAAAGCCAGGTGCACCAACCATAGGGATGCAGGCAACTTGTCTACCGCATGGCAGTCCATTTATGAAATTTAATTTTATTAAAGGATATTTATTTGTTTATTTTTTATTTTATTTATTTATTGCTGTTATTTTATTTATTTATTTATTATTTTAAAATAATGACATTGTATTTAAATTCTTGTTCTTTTACAATTGTACTTAAATTTTTTAAAATTTGTATTTACATTCTTTTATTTTTCCATTCTGTTGTAACTGAAGAATGTCAGTGAAACTGATCGAAAACATTATTTTATTAAATTCATTGTTGAATTTATAAAGGTGTGAGTTTTTGTTATTAAAATTAAAAAAACTGCAGTACATTAAATTAAAAACATTAACTTTACTAATTTAACAAATAGATAGGTGCTATCAAGGATGATAGATGACATTCTTGCACATGTGTTCCTGCTGTTATTGACCAAGGAAAATCTGCAACACAGCAAAGCCACCACTGTTAAATCAAGAGTTGACTATATATATAATTTTTTGGGTTTTATACCCCAGTTCCAGATCAAGGAGATTAATCCATATGTTAATAAAGATTGAATTATATATACATGGACTACAAAGAATAATGGCAACATATCAATATATAAAATTATTTATTGTAGAAACAGAATAGTATTACATTCCTTCAATATAATCCCCTGCCATATTTATCACCTTCTGCCACATATAGAAGGTACTGCACACCAAGAGACAAATAAATACATCAGTGCTCTGTTTATTTATGTCCCTGAACAAGTGTCCTACTGCTTACAGAATGGCAACTCTTGTGTGGAAATGCTTTCTTCTCAGTGGTTCTTTTAACTTGGGAAATAGATCAAAGTTATAAGGACTCATATTGGGTGAATATGGAGGATGTTTGATTCTTTTCACCTCCACTTTCCTAACAACTCTTTACAGGAATAGCAGTGTGACAGCAAGCATTGTCATACAAGAAAATGGGAGCATGTGTTGGAAATGTTGTTTCTTCTGCACTGCAGGACAAAGATGATGTTCCAGGTACCTACCTACATGATAGATTATCACACCCTTTACATCATATTCCACTATCAACATTTTCAGATTCATGGTTCAGTTTTTTAGAATGAGGCAGATGATGAGTGATGCTATTCATTGGACTGTCATTTCAGTTCTGGCTTGTAAGATCACACCCGTTTCATACAATACAATGATCCTGTCAAGGAATGAATGGCTTTCCCTGGTGTACTGTTTCAAGTGACTTGCAAGGACTGCCATTTCTGAGCTTTCATAAGATGATGAGACTCCCATTGGGATGAAATTTTGCAATACTCAAAGATGTCCTGCAACACTGTAGTGTAGGTTGTTCCAATCTCTACTGCTAACTGTCTTGCTGTCCATTGCTGATCCACCTCCAGAAGTGATTGAATAAGTCAATGTAATGTGTGTTGATACCAGGATGACCCATGCATCATGCATCCTTATATATAAAAGGCAAATAGAAGAAAATGATATACTTTAACATTATAACAGTAATTATCTTTTAAACAAACAAAAATTATTAAAATATAATACAATAGATAGGACTTATCATACTGATGTACAAGATTGCAGACTCACAATTACACAGATTAAAATTGTTTTATTTTCAATTACCTGTGTTTTATTTTCAATTTTAATCTGTGTAACTGTGAGTCTGCAATCTTGTACACCAGTATGATAAGTCCTATTAATAGAAATACACTGATATAGTGATGAAAAGAATAATTTTGATTAAATTAAGGACATAGATGCATATTAATTAATAATACAATAGAGTTTGAATTATTCAAAATAATGAGATCACACAAGGATATCTTCGATAATCAAAAACTCATAACATACAATGTTTAGTAAATTATTAAATAAACTGGATTTGGATACATTAACATGCATGATGTAATTATTTTTATATTAGACCTATTTATTGAGTGTAATAACTCTTAAATAGAATTAAAATGTATTATTGTATAATTTAAAACTGTATTAAAACAAATGTAAACCTATAATTGGAATATCATCATAATGTCTGGCTGCAATTTTTAATTTATTTAATTGAAAATATGCTCTCTATTGCAAATTAGTACTGTAGTGTCTTGCCCCTGTAAATTATACTTTTTCCATTAGCAATGGAATTGAGTCATTCATCTATCTAGCTCTATCTAAATTTTCCTTTCAGGGGAAATTTTTGAATTGAAATAACATGACTTCTGGTTGCATTGTAAGTTCATAGTTAATTGAGGCATCCTGCCTTGATTTTCCGTATTTGCTCTTGAATTTCATTTATGTAACACTGTTCTTGAGATTAAGGAAGGAGAGATGGATGGACAGACTGATGGATGGCAATGGGAATTTATACATCTATAATTTTTTCAAATTGCAACCCAATTCAAATTTCTGTTAATGTTTTTTTTTAAATTTCTATTGTCATGAGAAGTCACCAAAATTAATTATTTTTAAAGCTTCTATAGCACTTTTTAATTACTGTGTATTTCTTTACTAAGGTTTGTATAACAAACTAAGCTGTTTTATTTAATTAAATGTTCCATTACTGGTTTTGTTGTGGATTTTAAAGAATTAAAAGCTATTGGTTTTTTCAGTAACACACCATACAAGGAGCAGTTGTTGATATAGGTTTTATTGGAGGAAATGCAATTTGGATCTTAATGACCCATCTGTCTTTCTTTGTAAAGTATAAGGACTGAAGAGGGGTCATTAAAACCCAAAATGCATTTCCTCCAATAAAACCTATATCAACAACTGCTCCTTGTATGGTGTGTTACTGAAAAAAAACCAATAGCTTTTAATTCTTTAAAAAGCTGTATTGTGTTTTCTTGTTTTTCTGATAAAGTACTCTTCCACAATTCATCTCAGATAATATTATAGAACTTCTATTAAATTGGTTTATTTAATTGAATTTCTATTGCACATTATTATTTTGATTCAAAAATTGCTTCAAGATTTTTTCCACCTTACTATATTTCTGATATTTTGTGATAAAAAAATAATTAAAAGATCAAGTATGAAGTTCTGTGATATTTGCTGAAAATAAAAATGTGTGTATTTATACATTTAAATGATTTATTTTAAAGGGTGCATTTTTATTTGCTTACATTTTGTACTGCATGCATATAACTGATTTATCATATATTTATTTATATTTTGATGATAAATATCTTATATTTTTAAAATTTAATTATGTATTCATGATAGTCATTAAATTTAGTTTATTCTGCTTTTTCTAGATTTTAGGAATAATGAAATTTATGATGATTTTAACTTTTAAAATCAATTGTTTATTCCTCTGATGTTACATAAATCAATAATTCTGCAGGAATTTCAACTTCTGTTTAATTATTTATCATCTTATAAATATGTGATTTTATTAAGTCTTTTTAATAATCATAATTATTTCTTCTAAAATAATTTTCATTGTTTTATTTGCTTTTGTAAATATTTAAAATTATTACTAATAGTGTTGTAGATATTTGTCTTTGATTGTGAGATTGATAAATTTATATTGATTTTGTGTTTTATGCATTCCTGTGAGTCACAAATTTGTAACCTTTTAATAATCTGTTAAATCAAGTCGAAAGAAGAGGGGGAAATCTGTAAATATATCTTAAATTTTTATATTGAGAACTTATGTAAATTAATATTTTTGAAATATTTTATATAAGTCAATATTATTTCTTGCTGGAATATTGTTCTAATGAAAGAATTTAAACAGATTTGATTTTATTGTATAATTCATGTTTTAAAAGATTAAGATGAATCAGTTTATAAAGAAAAATTTTGTTATATTATTATAATAATGATAATTTTTTTCTTTTTGTTACTCAAATTGCTATGAAGCCGTATATTCTCCTATAGATTCTTAGCAATATGAAATTAGTAGAATTGCAGTAGGTAGTAGTAGAGAAATTTATATTGTTTAAATAAATTTGTAAGGATGATAAAGCATTACAAAAATTAAATTAATTATTCAGGTACAGCAAGCTTTAGATTCTTATTATTTATTTTGTTTTGAGAATATTTTTGTACATCTTTGAATCTTATTAATGCTTTTTATTATTAATTAATACACTTTTAGAATTAAGAAAGTGTTTTTTTTTCTTTAATTATTATAAGTTGATTAAATTCATTTTGTTATAAATATTAATATAAATTAATCATAAATTATATTTTTATGTTGAGATGTGGTAACTTTTTATATATAACAAAATTTTGAATTATTAATAATAATAATAATCAGACATGAAAAAACAACACAGTTTACACTGTCACATCTCATGTACATGGATGACATAAAACTTTATGCATCCACACAGAAACAACTTCAGCAGCTCCTACAAATCACACACTCATACACCAAGTACATACAAATGGAGTTTGGCTTAGACAAATGCAAAAAATTTCACATAGAAAAAGGAATACTGAAGAAAGAAGATTTTGCACTTGGAAATGGAGAAGTTATTGAATCCATGGAAGAGGGCGAGTTCTACAAGTATTTAGGATTCCAACAGGCCAAACTAACAGAACATACACAAATAAAGCAAAGATTAATTAAAGAATACCAAAGTAGGTTAAATGCCATTCTCAAAACACAGCTAAATGCAAAACACACAGTTAAAGCAATAAACACATATGTCATCCCAGTACTCACATACTCTTTTGGAGTTACATATTGGACTCACACAGATCTCAAACAACTGCAAAGGAAAACAAGAACAATGCTTACTAAGCATAAACATCATCATCCTAAATCCGTCATAGAAAGATTAACCCTTCCACGTAAAGATGGCGGACGTGGCCTGATTAATTAATTAACATAGTTAACCTTCGCTACAAACAAATACAGTCACTGCGAGAGTTTTTCTACAGGAAACAAGAAACATCACAGTCACATAAAGCAGTAACTCTAGCAGACTCAAATAACACACCATTAAACTTACATTCACATCGTACAGACTTGACACAACATACAAAAAGCATAGACACCATCAAGCAATCGTGGACTCAAAAGGCATTCCATGGCAGACATCCTTATGACCTGGCCCAGGATTTTGTTGACAAAACTGCTCAAACAGCTGGTTAGATCGGGGATGCCTCTTTGGGGAGACGGAAGGATTCATGATTGCCATAAAGGATCAGGTCATAAATACTAAAAACTACAAAAAACACATACTCAAAGATACAACATTCACAAATGACACATGCAGAAAATGTCACATCATACAACACATCACTTCTGGGTGCAAGCTCTTGGCACAGACAGATTATTTACACAGACATAATCAAGTAGCAAATATACACCAAGAGTTTGCAAACAAACACAAATTATTAGACATCCATGAACCATACTATAAATACATTCGGTATTGAAAAACAACACGCATAAAATGTATTATGACAGAACCATAATCACAGATAAAACAATTTACCACAACAGACCAGACATCACACACATTGACAAACACAATAAAATCACATACATTATAGACATAGCCATTCCAAACACTCACAGTGTACAAAACACGTGCACTGAAAAAATTAGCAAGTACACAGAACTCGCCCAGAAAATAAGGCATCTGTGGAGGATGGATAGGTTGCTTATTGTACCTGTTGTTCTCTCCTGTACAGGTGTGATACTACACACACTACACAAAAGTCTGGGAACATTACAATTGAATAGAAATACATATATCACGCTACAGAAGGCCACTATATTGAATACATGCCATATTGTTAGGAAATTCCTGAATACAGACACTGACATACTTATTTAATTTTAGTTTTGTTTTGGTTGCTATGCCTTGACTCTGGTCTGGCATAGTACACAGCCACCGGTGTGAACCGAGTAATCCACTAATCCCAACACAGTAATAATAATAATAATTAATTCAAAATGTATAGTGTACAGTAATATATGAATATAATACATTACACTATACATTATTCATTTTGTGTTTTAATCATTGCAATTAAATTATTTCTGTATAATTAATTTTCCAGTTATATTTTGCTATTTTCAGAAAACAGTAGAAATGATTATGAGAGAAAAATTAACTAAAGGACTAGAGGTATGTTTAAATAATTAATCAAAATCAAAATATCTTTTTAATGAGCTCAGTTTGTAACAAATATTTTGTTTATAATTTGTTTATAGCAAATTATAAAAAAAATTTGTTATAGTACTTCTTGATTACATCACTTTTTTATTTCTTAATGGCAAATATTTTATTATTTTAATTAATACATTATTTTACTTTCATAGTAATATTTTAATTTAGTTACAATATTTTCAAAATAAATGCAAACTCTCTTAAAAGTAATATTTTGAAAATAGTTCTTAGCAATATTCATTTATATTGTTATAAGATTTTTTTGAAGCACAATATTTCTTTTATATGTAATGTATTCTTTCTTAAAAAAATCTGAACCAGATATTTTTTCTCTCATCACAAATGCTCATTTTAGTTTTAATTTTGTAATTGGAATAGGAAGAAATTTATTTTACATTTTTGAAGTAGAAAATAAATAAGTCAGTTTAGTTTTATTTTACATATGTGTAAGGATGTACCAAAAATTAAATTAGCAATAAAATTTTTATATTATCAAAATATTACTAGAAATGATTACTATTAAAATGTATACTGGACAAAATATATTTACATATATATATATATCATTTACATCATATAATGGCAAAATGTTTGTCTTATTATTGTTATCTCGTAAATGAAATTATTTTTAAAGAATATTTGATGGAATGAACAAAAATATACAGTTACATTATTTAATACATTTATCATTTATTTTATCACTGAAACTCTGTACCAATATTTTATGGATAGATTCTAGGGTTAAAAATAAGTTTAAAGTCCTCTATAAACATTTTAAAAATTTTGTTTTATTTTTGAATCTCTCCTGTCAAAGACTCAAATTAAAAATCCACTTTAATTAAATCTTCTGCCTAAAGGATATTGTTATTTGTTTCCACTTCTGCTTTACAAACATGTACTATACAACTTGAAGCTTTATTTTAAATATTGAAAATTTGTTTTTTTGAATCTGTGGAAATTGAACTGCTTAAAATGTCTCCTGCTATTTGAGACATTTTTATAAATTATTCTGTTTAATTTTGTAAAAAGAATTGAAGTAAATTTACATTGAAAAACTCTTGCTTTCCAACTATTTTTTTACTGTAAAATAGATGGATACTGTAAAACTTTAAAGTGCTTTGTTTACATTTATTACAGTAGGACCTGCTTGGGCAACATTTACTTACCTCAATCTGTTGACAGAAACATAAAAAAAATTTGCTTTAAAAAGTTGACAACTCTAGTACTTTGGTGGGGAATTTGAAAAGTACCTATTTTTGGCAGGGCAGATCTTGAAAACAGAGTGGATTTTAAAAATGTTTATAGAGGATTCTAAGCTTATTTTTGATCTTAGAATTCTGTCCCTAAAATATTTGCATAGAATTTTGTTTCATCTTTTTATAGTGACTATTATGAACATTTTTATCTGTTAAATTATCTATATCAATTTCTGTAATTAATTCTTGTTTTAATGTTTTTAAACATCAAAATGAATCAGGAATCATGAAAAATTTTTTATTCATTTTGAAATCGGAAGGAAACAATATACTTCAGTAAAAGATAATTATTTATGAGGACACCTTAGTTCATTTGTAATTAATTCATCTTGTTACCAAGCAATTATCACTTCAGTTTGTCTCATAATAAAGAACAAAGGTTGAGAAGGTATCAAATACAAAATTTTTATGTAAATGAATGTTCCAATGAAATTATTTTGAATTTTAAGAACATTGAAGAGGTTGATGACAAATTATTCAATTTATAAATCAAAGTTTTATACTTGGCTGTTCAAACAAAATTTTTTTAATGATTTTTTTTGTTATAAAATATATTAATTGGTATAAAAAACATTTTAGCATAAAAATTAATAATTTATATTATTTCAAGTGCATTAAAAGTCATGTTTCAGTTACAAAATTGAATGAATTACTCGTTTTTTTAATAAGAAAATATATTAAAAGCATTTTTGCCTAAGCTAATTAGGCTTCTTCAGTTATATTTTTGAACATTGGTAAGATGTTTGGAAGAACATAATTTGAACCTCAAACTTATAAGCTCAAAATTACAGTATATCTGATATAACAGCAAATTAATTGAAAAATTAATATAAAATTAAAATAAATATACAAAATGAATAGAATGACAACTATAAAATAATTTCTTAAACATTCTATTCATTTTGTATATTTATTTTAATTTTATATTAATTTTTCAATTAATTTGATTTAAAAAATGATTTTCAACTACATTCAATGAAAAAAGATACTTTATACATCTTATTTTCAAATTGTTTTCTCATCATAATAAAATACAGTCCTATTTTTGTTTTTATTATTGATTTAAAACTTTGTTTTATTTTATGTCTTCCATAAGATTTAAAATTGTATTGTAATTATTTTATTAATTAAACAATTATTTTTATTGCTGTTTATTATATTTCTATTTAATATGTTTTTTAAACATAAAATTACTTTTTCTTTTTGAAACCATGTCCTGTTTTATATTTGTGGCGTAGTAAACACTAGTATTGTGTTTTATTCCAAAGACACATGGCAAATGTTCCATCAAATTCCTTTATCAACTAATAAAGGAATTTGATGGAAAATTTGCCATGTGTCTTTGGAATAAAACACAATACTAGTGTTTACTACGCCACAAAAATAAAATTACTTTTTAAAACAAAAAGAGATTATTTTATCTGTAGAATGCAAATACAATAGAATCTCATTTTTATGGATCACTTGGGCCACTGAAACTTGTCTGTTGTGAACCACTGATTTCCAGCACACCCAGGAAAATATCTGCTATTTAACCTCCTATACATATAAAAACTACCTGTACTTGAAATTACGCAGTCTCTTGAGATGTATTTCTATAGAATAAAGAATAGATATGGCATAATACACAATCTTGTAACATATGTGTGTATGTCAGAGCTGATGGAAACTACATACTGTAAGCACAAAATGAGACAAATTACATATGCTCATTAGCACTTCACTTGACTTCAGGCTTTGTTAAAAACTTGTCCATCTTGATTTGTTTTGATATCACTTTTCTTTCTATTGAATACAACAACCACTTGATATTAGCAATGTCATATATAGCCTGTTTTTTTTTTAATGCTGAAACTTGTCAGAAAGGTCTTCATGACTTGGAAAGGTCTCAATGGCCTTGTTAAATTTTGGAACCGCTTGGATCAGCATCAGAATGTTTACTAGGTAGTTCCTCCTCAATTGTATCAGCCTGCTGATTCTCTTTGTACAGCTCTTCAATTGTAAATATCCCATATATAACAAGTGCATCATCAAACTCTATAAATTCCTGGAAACCCTCAAATATTAACTAAACATTAAATACTGTGAATTTTACGATAGATGGGACTAGAAAAAAATGTGTTATTCCAAGTTATAGATCTGCTGAAAAGAAGTAAAATTACATTGATTTGGTAGGACGTGGAAAAAAATCTGTTGTTCTGCAATTTATTAAAATGAGATTCTACTGTATTTAGAAAAACTTATTTAAAGTTTTCCATTTGTATATGGAATGAATAAATAATTAATGGCACAAGACAATTGATATCCTTCCTTGATAAATAAAGCCTATAGCAAAGGATTAAAATACAAATAACAATAAAATTAATAGAGTTGATAAATATATATATACACTTAATTATAATTAATAAACATAATAAAAATTACAAATTATAAAGTTAATATTTAAATAATTTTCTTTGAATAATGTAAGATTATATCTGAGAATTTTTGTTCAAATATATGAATAATTTTAAAAATTCATAAAATATATAGGGAACATTTGTTTTTTGATGTTAAATATTTTTAATTGAAGCAATTAAACACACAACTTTTACAAAACAATACAAATACATTCAATAACTTTATTGTCCTTAAGTTATTTTAAAAAGATATTAGTTTTTTCTCAAAATGTACTGTTTCTGTATTTCTTCATATCTTTTCAGTAATTTATAATACATCTGCTTCATGTTTTTCCACTCATTAAAGAAGTTTATTTAAATTCCATTTACAGTGGTACCTTGTACTTTGAATGCTTTAGAGTTTGAATGAAACATTTGAGAAAAATTTGCCTTTGAATTTGAATTGCATCTGCAGTGAAAAAATGTGCTTAAAGCATAAGCACAATCTGTTGTGTCCAAGCCATCTCTTGCTCTCATATAATGCTTGTATGTTTTCTGAGTTTTTTTTTACTTTATTTTTGGTGTGTTTGTTTATATATATTCTATTGTGTGTTATTAATTGGGTGCTCTCTAAATTTTGTATCCTTTAATTCAAAAATTCTCAAACAGAACTTTTAAACCACATTTCACCTGTTTGAAGTTTAGGAGCATCTTCCCCATCAGTTGTTTTTACTGTTTGTATAGCATTATAGCCTATTCAAAAGTCATAAAAAGATAATATGCCTGATATGCATTTTATTTGAAGTTTGTTTCCTTTGTTTAAAGTTTTACTTCAAACTCTTTAATTCACATTTTGTGAAGTAAAGAGTTTGAAGTAAAACTTTAAACAAAGGATAAAATCTCACACTATCTATAATGTGTGAAATTTAACCCATAACAGTTGTCAAATTTAACAACAGTTATGGTTGAATTAACAGATATGATTAAATTATGCATCTATGTTAAGATGTGGAAGTCCACAGTGTGTGACCAATAAATGCAGTTTTCATTTTATACAATATTTTTGTATTTAATTTATGGTTTTTCTTGTTTTAATATATTATTAAGACATTTAATTGTGTTATTTTTATCTTAAATTATGTTATATTAAATGTGTATTCAGTGTTTTAAGTGTATCAAAATGGATATAATTCAGGGTCTGGAGTGAATTAATTGACTTTTCGTTATTTGAAATGAGAAAAATTGATTCAGACTTTAAATGATTTGGAGTTTGAATGACTTCCTGGAATAATTAAATTTAAAGAGGCATCACTGTATATTGTAAATTGTAATTTTGAATTATATATTTTAAATTACCATATTATTCTTTTTTGAATTTTACTTGAGGATGATAATATGAAAGTTATTGATGAATATACTTGTAGGTTTTGTAAACAATTTGTTTTATTGCTTTAATTAAAATACAGGTATCCCTCATGTAACATGGCACATTTTTGGAACATAACTATGTAAATCTGTGCTATACGAAACAAAGGACTAATACAAAACATAGGGTTAAATTCTAAAAGTTAGCAAACGTATACTTTTCTTTTTTATTACTAAGAGAAGTGTGTTTATTACATAAATCAATAAATTATTTTCAATCAATAATTAACTAACAATTGCAATTAAAAGTACTGTATTACACATTAACATTAATTTTAGTTAAACAAGGGCATTTTCTTTTTACAAAGTATTGGCATCTTCTGAAATTTTTTGTAAATGACCTTTACTAAATACAAAGATTAAGCTAGAAAAAGAAAACACAGTGACAGTCTTAAAGGCTGTCTGACAACACCTGATTGACAGTGCAATTTTTTTTCTTCCTTGTCCTGGATTTCCTATCCGTTTTCATTAAAAGTAAACATGACGAAAGACACAAAACAAATTGAAAATTTCAATATTGTAAACTCCATGGGCAAGTTTGAAACAACATGCATGTCTACTTGAATAAAAAAATATATATATATATGTTACCGCTAAAGCTCGGAAACTCGTTAATCTGCAGATTACCTAGCTAATCTGCAGATTAACTAGCGTGATCCGTTAAAGTTGCTAAAATTGTTCTATTTCTCAAATTACCTAGGTAATGTGCAGATTATCTAGGTAATCTGCAAATTATCTATTAGGCACTCGGTAAAGTGAAATAAGATCTTTGCTGAAACAACAGCAACGTTTCTGTATGCTTAAATTAACATAATGTCCTTTATTTAATTTTCGATATCAAAGAATCAAGTTAATACAATCGACAAATTAGTTGATAGAATCAATCATCAACCAATTAAAAAACATACAAAAAATCAAACGATTTAAAATATTAATACAATTAGGGAAATTATTATATAGATAACCACCTATGGAATTTCGGGACTTTGAGTATCTATATGAACTGAGGGGACCGAGACGACTTCAACCATACCCTACTTTTGGACCGGAGACGAAAAATAATAAAGTTATCATACTTTTTCTGGTGATCGCATGATGTAATTGTGCAATTAATGTTACCTATGGTGAGTAAAATGGCGGCTCGTCTCTGATTCCAGCAAACAGAAGAAAGGAAACAGTGGGAACGCACGTTTTGTCCTAACCAAACCTATTTTAATAAATTACCATAATTATTACCAACCAAATTATTAGAATAGGTTAGGTTAGGTTTGAAGGTGCGTCCCCACTGTTTCCTTTCTTCTCTTTGCTGGAATCAGAGACAAGCCGCCATTTTACCCACCATAAGTAACATTATCCAATTGTGCAGTCTAAAGATTGGTGACACTTTGAATTTCATAGCAATTGGTTTCTGCGACAAGCACACCTATTTGTGGTAATTTATTTGTGGCAAAGATCTTATTTTCGCTTTACCGAGTGCCTAGTAGGTAATGTGCGGATTACCTAGATACTCTGCACATTATCTAGGTAATTTGAGAAATGGAACAATTTTCACAACTTTAACGGATCACGCTAGTTAATCTGCAAATTAACGAGTTTCGAGCTTTAGCGGTAACATATATATATCAAATAATGGAGTTTACACTTAAAAATTGTGAAATTTTGTAGGAAGGATTTCCCAGACTGTGTTAGAGTGAAACTGGAAATTGTGTTGTATAGGAAATTTCCCCAATTTTCAAATCATGTTAAGGTGAAACCATGTTATGGAAGTGCCTTGTTGTACAAGGGATATGTATTTAACATCAAAAGACAGTGTTTTTTCCATATATAATGAATTATATTGACTGTACATGCCATTTTTATTTCATTTTAATTTAAAAATTTTATGCTTTAAATGTATTCTTATAATTAATTTTTTTACTATATTGACTGTAATATGAGAATATCAGAATTGAATTACATATTTTATAAATTTTTTTTGTTTAGTATAATGTTTAATATCTATGCATTAAAATTATGTAAATATTTATTTTTAAATATATAAATAATGTATACTTCTAAATTTCATTATTCTGTAAAGTTAAATAAAATTTGTGGAAATAATTAAATTATCAATGAACAGTTTCTTTATAAAAAAATGATAGAATAAATTAATTTTTTTCTGTAATCAGAAAAATAGTTGAGGAGTTACCTGTATACTTCAGCAGAATTATGAGTAACTCAAGTTACACATACACAAATAAATTATACAAAATAATTATTTTAGTATTTTAAATTTAATGTGTTTCATGGGGATTTTTATATTTATTGTGATCTTGATTAATTTATAATGTCTTTCAAATTAATGTATAATTTTCATTTAAATAAACTTAACATTTTTATACACTAAACTTAAAAAATAACAACAAATATTAATATATTTTATTGACATAATACTATAGTTCAATTCTCCTGAATGTTTTAGTACATTTTTAAAATTAAATGTGTTTTATAACATGCACAAATCTAATTTCCTTTTTATGTAAAATAATTTCAAATTACTTTATTATCTCTAATAAATGTTTTTCTCCTTACATTAGTAACCAACTCTAAACTAATCCAATGGGAGACAACTGAAGTATTTAATTAATCAAGAATTGAAATTTTTATTAAGGTTTGTCATTGAAACATTTCAAATTTGATTCCTTTCATCAAAAATGGTTCTAATACTTTAATTTTTATATTCTTCATTCAAATTTCCAGTATAAAATTTGAAATTTATATCTGTCATGTTTTTTTAATTGAATAAAAGAAAAATGATTTGTGCTTTGTAAAATACTTTGAATTTGTTTTTATCTACCATAATTTTTTTTGGAAACATTTCTATATTAATAATTAATTATCAACTCTTTCATTATTACTTTTAATAATTATATAACTCTGTAAAATTACCTTCTACCTCTAATAATTATTCTTTCATTTCTAAATTAACATTAAGATATATTACAAAATTTGCATAATACTCTTATTTTTTTTAAAAGTTATCTAAAAGTTTTCAGTAAAGATATTTATGTAGTTAAATGCACAATTTGAGATGCATTTTTGCTACAAAATACCAGAAATAACTATCTGAATATACCTATACTAGCATGCTTTTGAAATACATTTTAAATTAGAATAGATGACAGATATTTGTACATACTGGATATTTTTCTGCTATTAGAAACATTAATGTTTGAATATATATTGAAGAATGAACTTGTTATGACCATTAAAATATCAGTTGTTAATGTTTGGTTTTAATTGAATTTTAATTCAATTTGATATCACTTGAATTAAAAATTATCATAATTCTAGATTTTTAAATAAATTTAAATTTTTTTTAATGGAATAGCATATGATCAATGCATTGTTAGCTCTTTTCTGACAAAAGTATTTTCATTTTCATGTTTCATTTTTCATTATTTTTAAGAATTTCATATATTTCTCAAATGTAATTATAACAAAATTCTTTAACATCTACATGTAATTAATTTGTAATAAATATACCTTCATTATGATTCTGAAAGGGTTGATAATTATTTAATGATTTGTTTTTTTAAAATAAAGAATTCTGAATGTTAAGAATACTTAAAAATATTATTAATTTCTCAAATTAAGGACAAGAAAGCAAAAAGGATCTGCACTGGACTCAACAATGATGAAATGATGGATAACCAGAAATTGAATGTTGCTGTTATTGGTTCAGGCAGCTGGGGTTCTACTGTAGTTCGAATTATTGGTAAAAATGTGTTGCAACATAGCTGTTTTCATGATACTGTGAAATTATATGTACACGAGTCAATTGTAAATGGACGTAAATTATCCCACATTATCAATAACGATAGAGAAAATATAAAATATTTGCCTGGTTACAAATTTCCTGAAAATATTAGAGCAGTTCCTGATGTTATAGAAGCTGCATTGGAATCTGATATTTTAGTATTTGTTGTTCCACATCAATACATTTATGAAACTTGTAAACCATTAATTGGAAAAGTTAAACCTCAAGCTTTTGGTATTTCTCTTATAAAAGGAGTTTCTGTTAAGACTGATGGGACTCTTCAATTAATATCAGACTTAATTAAAGACATGCTTGGAATAAATATGTCTGTTTTAATGGGAGCCAATTTAGCAAAAGAAATTGCAGCTGAACAGATTTCAGAAACAACAGTTGGCTACACAAATGAAGAAAATGGAATATTGTTGAAAAAACTTTTTCATACAGAATATTTTCATATAACTTTGTGTAGTGATGTACCTACTGTAGAATTATGTGGTGCTCTTAAGAATATTGTTGCTTGTGGAGTTGGATTTGCTGATGGACTAAAATGTGGGGAAAATACAAAAGCTGCCGTAATTAGATTAGGTCTTCTTGAAATGATTAGATTTATTAAATATTTTTATCCATCATCCAAACTGTGTACCTTTTTAGAAAGTTGTGGAGTTGCAGATTTGGTTACTAGTTGTTATGGTGGAAGAAATAGAAAAGTTGCAGAAGCACTTGTTAATTCTGGTAAAACAATTGAGGAATTAGAAGAAGAATTGTTGCAGGGGCAGAAATTACAAGGTCCTCAAACAGCCGAAACTGTGATGACAGTTTTAAAGCATCAGGGATTAGAAAATCTATTTCCACTCTTTACAAAAATTCATAAAATATGTGCAGGTGAAAGTGAACCATATGAATTGATCAATACTGTACAGAAATATCCCCAAACAATGGCATATGCCATTTAATCTTGATGATGACATAGGATTTATTAAGTTTATGTTTTATTAGTTAAGCTGATGTTTCATTTTTAATATTATTAGAAAAGATTTAAAAAAAATATATAAACTAACAGCTTGATCTTGATTGATGACTTTCATTTTACATCTAACTTGATTAGATACATTTTTATTATTTTTTTTTCATCAGTAGATGTCAAAACTTTGTCATCAGTATATAAATCAATATTTAAAATTAATTTAAATTATTAATACTATATTTCCTAGGTTTTCATTCAATAATATATTATTATTATTTTATACATACAATATTTGATTTCTCAAATCTTGTTATAAAATGTATTTAAGTAATTAACATTTTTTTAATGAGATAAAATTGATCTTGTTATTGTCAATCGGAAAAATATTTTTGATAAAATTGAATCTCAAAACATTATTTTAAATAGAAAAAAGATTATAACTAAATTTGAATAAAAAAATTTAAATGAAGTAATGAAATGATTGTGAATAATTATATTTAATATATTGTTAATTAAAAGTATAATAATCCAAAGTAAAGATGATAACACTGGTGTATATAGTTTGTACTTTACCAGATTTAATAGCCTAATTTTATATTCTGTTCATTAAATTATCAACATAAAAATATATTTGAAGACATGAGTAGATGAAGATGTTATGTTACAAAATCAAAGCTTTGAGTGAATTGATGGTTAAGTTTTTATTATGTAATTATTTTGGTATAAATACAGTCCTCTAGTTAGGAATAAATTATTAGGGCTACAGAAACAAGCTTAAAAAGTTCTGACTCATGTTTTTCTGTTTTTACCCATCATTAAGCCTATTAGCTGCAGTGGAAGTGTAAAATGTCTAACAGTAGCCTAAGTTTATGTGATGAAAGTGAAAGCATATATTATATATACTCCATATGTGTACTGATAAGCTGAGAAACTTAGCCATCTCATAGCCTCCCACAGCTATAGCTGTATATTTATATTGCAAAGAATGTTATGATGTCATTTAATTTCTAAGATCTTTGATAGTGATATGTGAGAGATGGATACATTAATCCTCATTCACTCATGCCTTCATTTATTCTATTGTGAATATATTTACTGTGCATCTTTTGATACATTTTAAGTGATCTGTTTCAGGATTATTTTATTATTATAAAATTAACTTATTATTATTATTATTACTACTATTATTTTTATTGTTTATCATTCTTGGATTGTGTCCAGTATCAATCTCACAGGTGGGCTCAAAAGGCAAGCCTGTAAGACCAGTATGAAGCTTTAAACAGTTTTGGAGAAATTTTCTGACAATATGACAAGTTGCCAGAATGGTAGCTTTTTTTAAAGATCTATATAAATTTGAGTGAATGTCTATTGTCTTCAGGCTTTTATATAACAAATGTAGGATAATTTCTGTGCCATTGGTACGGTATAGATTTTTTTCATTTTACACAGGCACTTTACTGTATTATTATTATTTATTATTTAAATTAAAATCAGTATTATTGAAGGAAAAATAAAATATATTTTCTATGAAGTAAACATTAGTGATGATTTTATTATTATTATTTTACATTCTTGAGTTTGTATGAAAACAACAAAGTAAATATTTTTTAATTGTCTTTATTTCCTTTATAGACTAATTAATAATAGACTTTAATAATTAATATCATTTATAATAATTAAATGTGGAATAACATTTGAATTGATGATAATATTTATAATGAATAACAATAATTTTTATAATAAATAAATTTTTTTTACTAAATATTTATTTAGTAATTTGAATTATAATGTGCAAAAATTTAAATCATTTAGATTTGTTTAATTTACAGAAGTTAACATTTTATAAACAGTTAAAATCATTACTCTTTGGATTACTCACTAAATATAAAACAAAAACTAACTTTTTAATATATGATTATTGAATAATTTTATATGAAACAATTATTTATATTTTAAACTTATTAAATTATATGAATTTATGAATTATATAATATTAAAACTGAATACATGACAATCTTTATCTCAGCAATTAATTATAGTTAAATAAGAAACATTTTCAGTTGCATTTATTGGCCATCTTTAGACTCAAAACATAGAACAAAGCAAAATAAGCAGTTATAAAGTAGAAAAAATTTAGATATAAATGCATAAGAATTTACACCCATGACATTCTTCTTTAAAACCATTTTATTCTGTACTTTATACCTGAAGGTGGCCAATAAATTGAGCTGAAAATACATGTATTTGCTATTTAATTATAATTAATTAATTAAAGATTGTTGTGAATCCTAATATGAAGTTTTATGTTTAATTTATTCTATTATGATTTATTTTGTTCCATTAAAAATATATAAAAAGTAATAATTGTAGTATATACAAGTATGTTAACGATACAATATTATAAATATCTCATAGTTCTAGCACAGTAAATAAATATACCTGCAATAAATTTAGTGAATAATTAATTTTATTAAATGTGTTTTTGCTGTATTACTGCCAAATAGTAAGTTATAATAAATTTAAAAAATAATTTACTATTTATCAATAAATAAATTTTAATATATATACAGTGTGAATTGTTACATTCAAATTTATTCAAATGTGAAATATTTACAACTGTTTTAAAACAACACATAGTATGATCCAAAGATAGTTATATGGGATATATTTTAAGATAATTTTGTACAAGCAGACCCTAAGTTACAAATGCTTGACTTACTTTTATTACAATTATAATCATTAATCTATTATTAATGTTTATTATTATTATTATTATTATTATGTACTATATTATTGTGTTTAATATGTTTTAGTGTATTTGGAAGAGGTTTGTGTTTTAGCACATAAAAAGTTTATAGTGTAGGTAATGTGACCAGATATGATAGCGTAGAATGTGGGACACTCATCAAAAAAGTCTCTATTTTCACAAAAATTAATAAATTACAAAAAAATAGTCTCTTGTATCATAACAATAAATGACTAGGTCATTAATAATCACAAATTATATTAGATAAATATTTAAATATTCAAAAATCATATTATTTATTTATACTTTTCTGCACTATGAATTTTTTTAATGTTCTTCGTTTTTTGAAATGTTATTACAAAATTCTTCACAAGAAATGGAAAAATTGCACGTAACTTGCAATATTGCTTTCAAAGTTTCTAGGCCCAATTGTGCTTTTTCTGTGATCCAAATCTTATTCATTCCCAAAAAAATTTGTTCAGTAGCAACATCAGTGCCTGGCAAGCACAATGCAAATTCAATCATTTTTTTTAATATTCTTGAAAGGTACGCTGTTCTTGTCAAAGTGATTAAATATTTTTGTCCATCTTGCATCAGTTGGTGTTTTTTGCTCATTCCAAGTGTTTATTTTTATACTGTTTGTATATTTTTTTAATATGATATTTCATCAAAAAGTTTTGTTACTTATTAACATTGAATAAATCCATTTGATTACATTTTATCAAAATTTGAAATGTAATCAAAACTTTTTTGTATAGTTTGCCAATTAAAATAGTTTTTAAGACTGATCCACTTAAAACAATCAATGTCTTTATAGTGGGATAAATGAAGGTCTAAATACTGGACACATTTTTGATAAAAATTGTTGATACTAAATTTAAATAAAGCTATTCTAGACCAATCATTTTTTTTCAAATTTCTTAATTAATTGTGTACAATCAATGGTAGATATTGCATGTCCATTCTTTTTTTTAATTTAAATTTTCTATTTTTGTAATAACTTTCATAAAAGTAATATTATTGCCTTTAATACTTGTCACAGTATTATGGAATAATGATGCTTGATTATGCATGAAATACAACCAGCCTTCTGAGCTATCATCTTCAAAGAAATTTTACAAAACTCTTGGACAATTGTCAATAGATAAAAAATATGATTTTAAAGGAGAATACAGTTTTAAAACTCTTTTGATCACAGACACCAATGCTAGCCATCTAGTTTTACCATATCCCAACAACTGCATATATACCTCTGCATTCTCACAAAAGTCTTTTAATAATTTCACCCTTATAGTAAATATATAAAAATGACTATAAATTTTGATTATGATGCCTTCAATGTCAATAAGAAGTTGATCTGCTGCTGACTGATGATAGAATAGTATTATGCACTATATGTGTGACATATCCTATACAAATATTGAAGATAGCTTCTGAAGATGGTCTTTTAGCTTATATACATTATTTATTTATTTTTCTTAGTAACCCACCAAAATATACATTTGCATTATCAGCACAGACTGCTAAAGTTTAAGTAGCAAAGAGATAAAAGAGTGACTTTCTGTCACTGCAAAAGAGTTGGAGAGGCATATTTCATTTTCTGTCCAATATGGGACAATTTTCAATGCTGGACAGTCCCTCCTAATGCAGGATGTCTGGTCACTTTAAGTATAGGCTAAATTTATTTTAAGACAAGCATTTGACTAAATGATCTTAAATACCAACAACTGTTCTAACTTATCTACGGATTTGATCTAAAGACAATCTTAGAAACCAAACCTGTTTGTAACTTGGAAACTGCCTGTATGTGTGATCTCCTGTCAAAGATTGTAGCTGATTAATGATGCTTATCCAATGATTAATTTTTTTTTCACATTTAGTCTTGAAGATTATTTTACAAATGCTTAAAATAGTTTGGAACAGCTGCATATTATTCATGACTTTTGGGCCATTGTGTATATTAAAATAGTTGTAAATAGTTTACTAATAATTCTCCAGAAAAAAAGTATTAGTTTCTAATTTTAAACAAAAATTTGAAAGATTCACTTAAAAGACTTGTTGTACTCTTGATGTATATTCTTTTTATGTTTAAATATAACTTTTTTTTTTTTTAATTAAAAAAGAAACATTACTTCTGTCAGTAGTTTTATTTATTATTTTCATGAATGTAATTGTTATACAGTATATAAAAATGTGATATTTTAAAGAATTATAGATCTAATAATAATTTTTGTATGTTTATATGTATGTATATATTTATTAAAAAGAATAAACTATAGAATTTTTTATGTATTATTTATCATTTTTTAAATTGAAGTATAGATCTGATTTTATATGCTATTTAAATGTTTTAATATTTTCAATCATAATGAATATTAGATTTTAAACATTAAAACATATGTTAAAATATTAAATGATGTTTTGAAATGTGATTTTTCAACATCTTAGCAGATATTAATAATATATG